AATGCCCTTAAATTAGATATGAAAAAACGTATGATATGATGAAATGAAACTTTGTTCTTAAGGTTATGGACCAAATCGGCTTCAATGAAGACTTTTTCGCACTGATTAAGAGATGTATCACCTTGGTCTATCAAATTAGAATCAATGGTCAACTGTCAAATTGCATCATTCTGGAAATATGATTCTGTCAAGGAGATCCTCTTTCCTCATATTTTGGTTAAGTGACTTCAAGATGTCAAATACACTCACGAGTAAGAAGTTTAATATCGTTTTAGTTCGGGCATCTATCTAGGGTATGAGAGAATGACTAAAATTCCCTTAGGGACTAAAATTACCAAATTACCCTTATGGGCTTCAAAGTAAGTAACTAAGAACGAAAGATCATTATAGAGGACATCCTGACAAGCGGTATGATGAATTAATAAGACTACGAAATATATGAATCATATACTTCGAGAATATTAGCGATTGATGGACATACAATCGTCTCTTTAACTCGAGGGTGAATTTAAGGAAAAAAATATGAAGAGTGACTAGAGCGTCGCTACTCATAGTTGAACTCGAGTCAGTTATCGGGCTAGTGAATAGTACAGCTAGTGAACGCAAACCACAGAAATCGTCGTAAAAATCTAGATACAAGTAGAAACTTGGCTAGAGGTAGAGAATGACTCAAACACCCTTGAGTAATGAACGACCAACATAAAGTAGCTTAATAAATAACAACAGTAGTAGACTATTAAGCCTTTGCCTAACGTTTTAGATGAGAGAACGAACGAGATAACAACTAGTGAGAGGACAGACTCACTTTAGTGAGTCTAGCTAAGCTAGGGTGTAGCTAGGTTACCTTAGTTGCCCTAGTGGGGCATTATCAGTGCGCGAGGTACATCAAAAGCTAGCTAGGTCACAAGGCTTGACACTCGTAAGGAGTGGGTTAATGGTATTGGTGTTGTGTGGCTTTTGGGCCTTAGATATACACACCTTGTTGCATCAGTCCAGTACCCCAGTTATCAGAAAAGTTTGGCTTGATGTTGTGTGATACCAAGTCAATGCTTTTGTTGAGTGGGAATATCCGATGTTATGTGATACCAGGATTCCTTCTCGATGTTCTATCGGATACTATGTGATACCAGTGATCATCCAATAGATTAGAGAGGACTTTACCGATACTATGTGATACTGATACTCTCTTTCAGTAGATTAGTATCTGATGCTATGTGATACCAGATACTACCATAGTAGAGTTAGTGTTGCATTTAGATAATACACAGTATAATTAGGTTTGCATTCAGATAATTCACATGAGTCTTAATGTCGCATTTAGATAATGCGTAGTAGTTACAGTTATTGGGGTTAAAGATTTTTAGAGGTGTTCTCATGGCTAGACCCTTAGCAGATGATTAAGGAAAATATAAGACCCCTACTTCAGCGATAGAATTGTAAACCCTTGAGTAGGTAGTACTTGATCTAGATCATGCATGTATCTACTGTTTAGTACTCAATCTTCAGCATGCTTATGTTTATGAATTCTTATATTGCTCTAGATTAGTTATTATACTGCTGAGCTTTGTAAGCTTAGACTTCGGATGTTTTCCATTGGTAGGTTTGTAGATTAGGCAGTTCGAGGAGCACCGTCATGGCAGGACTTCCAGCACCCCTCTTCAGAGTACTATACTATAGCTTTAATGGGCATGTGTATTCATAGGACCCTTATTATTGTATTCAAAAAGTTGTAATATTTTGATTTAAACTTGTGTCATAGAGCTTCGTTTTGTAAAATGTTTTTATAATAGTTATTTATGTTTAATTATGATACCATTGAGTACATTTTCAAAAAAGAACGAAAAGGTTTTGAAAATCAAGGGTTGCCTTGGTAGCCCAATGTGGAACTTTAGGCCCAATCGGGTTTAGGGTGTTACAAATATGCTTTCGTTCCCGGTAGGAGAATCTCCTACAATTTTCTAGTTGTACATGAATTACTTCACTACCTTAAAAGCTCTAAAAACGACCCTAACAAAGGGAATGCCCTTAAATTAGATATAAAAAAAAACGTATGATAGGATGAAATGAAACTTTGTTCTTAAGGTTATGGACCAAATGGCTTCAATGAAGACTTTTTCGCACTGATTAAGAGATGTATCACCTTGGTCTGTTATCAAATTAGAATCAATGGTCAACTGTCAAATTGAATCATTCCGGAAATATGACTCTGTTAAGGAGATCCTCTTTCATCATATTTGTTTCTTTTTTGTGTGTAGGGCCTCTTTGTACTTCTTCTCAATGCACAACAGAAAGGGCTCATTAAAGGGATGAAAACAAGCATGCGCGACCCTCGAACTACTCATCTTCTTTATGCTGATGACAGTTTGTTGTTCTTCAAGAACTTGTTGACGAGAGCACAAAGGGTGAAAGATATTCTCTAGGTTTATGAGCAATCTTTTGGGCAGAAAGTTAACTATGTCAAATCCAGTATTTACTTTAGCACTAACACTTATCTTGATCACCAGAGGAGCATTAGACAAGTTTTTGATGTTGAGAAAAAAGAAGATCCAGGATCATATCTTTGTCTTCCGCTTGTTGTGGGGAAAGGAAATATTTCCACTTTTAGCTTTGTTAAAGACAAAATGGCTAAAAGAATTCAAGGCTGGACTAAAAAACTACTTTCATTTGGTGGTAGAGAAATTTTCCTCAAATCAATTCCACAAGCCCTCCCCACATACGTGATGTCATGTTATTTTTTTTTCTAGAATGCATAATCGATGACATTACTGTCCAAATTAAGTCATTTTGGTGGTCGAAAAAGTAAGATGCGAGGGGATTGGCCATGGTTGTGTGGGAAAAAGTTTACAGAACAAAACGACCGTGAGGATTAGGATTCAGAGACCTCTAGTTGTTTAACATTGCTTTGCTTGGGAACAAAGTCTGGAGATTCATTCAAGCCCAAAACTCCATTGCTTTTAAAGTTTTCAAAGCAAAGTATTTTCCTAAAATCTCTTTTATGGATGCCAAACTAGGAGGTAGAGTCTTCTACATCTGGTCTAGTCACTTCACAGCAAAAGAATCCTTGAAAGATGACTTTTTTAGAGAATTAGTTTTCAGGGAGAAACTAGAATGTTCCTAGATAAGTGATGGGATGCCTTCCCGATCAATTGGACCTGATCTTATCAAGATAGTGTGGATTCCCCTTTTAAATGTATTGACTTAATAATTCCAAATGCCTCAAGATAAGATGAAGCAAAGATTCAACAAGTACTCACCCACGAGGATGCGAACAAAGTCTTGGGAACTTTTATTGCCCCTACACCAAAAGACATGTTGATTTGGAGTCATCACAACAAAGGATGCTACTCAACGAAGTCAGGGTATAATTGGTTTCTCTTGCGGAAGGGTCTCCCAACTGAACAAGGTAAAATATGGAAAACACTCACCAAACTACCTACTTTGCCAAAATTAGGATCTTCGACTGGACAGTGTGTCACGAGGCAATCCCTACAAGGGAAAAATGAGGAAGGCTTGGTTGGTTGAGTGGATATTCCCCATGTGTGGTAGTGACATAGAAACAACGATTCATACCTTAAAGGAGAGTTTTAAGACTCGCTCAATTCTACAAATCTCAGGGCTCAAAACCTCTATTATTAATTGGCAAGGAAATTCATGTAAGGACTGACTGGAATGAATTGCTTCTCAATTATATTAGAGGGACTCTCCAAGCTCATTGTGCTTTTTTGGAACCTATGAAATCGAAGGAACAATGGTTGCAAAATGAAGAGCTACAATAAGATAGAGATGTGGCAGTAGCCGTATGAGGGCTTTATACAAAACTTAATGAAGCCAACTCCTATAAAAGTTTTCTCCCACACCAATAGAGGTCGATGAATTATTATCGTTGGAGTCACCCTAAGTCAAACTCAGTCAAGATAAATGTTAATGGAGTGTTCACATTAAATGCATCTACCGCAATTAAAATTGTCATCCGAGATCATAATGGAATGGTCCTTGGAGGTATGTGCCATCAAATTGATCTTCTATTCACAGAGGAAATGATAGCCTTCACTCAAGGAATTAAGTTCACCATTGAGAACGACTTGATAGATGCAATTATCGAAGGTGAAGCGATTTTCCATAATGAACAGACTTTCCAATCAAAGTAAGGACATTTCAACCATCAGATTGCTGATCAATAAAGCTTGCAGTTTGCTAACTAAGAATCGAGAGCTCAAGTTTTTCTATGTTAACCATGAGGCGAATCGAGTGGCTCATTTACTGGCTCATTGGGCTTTATGAGACTCAATCCGTACTAATTTGATTATGATGAACCCGAATGTATTAAGTCTGTGGTACTTTAGAATGTTATTGTAATGTAATAATTTAACTTTTCAAAAAAATATTAACATTTATGATTATAAAAATTATTATAATTTTAAATATTTTTTTTAATAAAATTGATTATTTCTATTCACATAAAAATAGCACAAAGTACACAAATGGTCCCTCGACTATATGGTACTATTTTATTAAGTCCATCGACTATTAAAAGTTACAAAAATGATCACCTGACTATTCATTATGTTCCAAAATCATCTTTTTTCATTAAAAACTAGCGATTGTTGGATGTTAACATGATGACTGAGACATGATAATTGTTTGAGATTCTATGATAAAATTTTATCATATCGCAGTTAGCAAGTTAAAGTTCAACTCAAAATACCATTAATTTTTTAACGAAAAATAACGAGTTTGAAACATAGTGATAATTTTGTAAATTTTAATAGTCGAGTGACTCACCAAAGTAACACTCTATAATCAAAAGATTGTTTTATAACTTTTAATAGTCGAGGAATCTAATAAAATGAAATCCTATAGTTAGAGGATGATTTGTGTACTTTAAAAAAAATCATACTAAAGGGTTTCAAAGTTAAACCATCATTTGCTCATGTGCCTACAAAGCCGAGCCAGTCTTGACTCTCGATTGAAGCTTGGGAGTTGGGATCAGGAAGAATATAAGCAAAGTTCATAGGTTGAAACCTCGGTAATCGAGCAATGGGAATCTCCAAGCTGTATGGACAATAACAAACTCACATCATTTCTTCTTTATACTAAAAGAAAAACAGAACAAAGAGAAAACACCAAAGAGCCCACTCCAATGTTCTTATCTAAATTATATCATTTTTCCGTTTGATCTAAAATGTCAAATAACAGTTGTCATTATCCCATCCGGCTCACTCAAAATCAATTAATTTTATATAAACTCTAGCGCTGCTGTCTTTTCAGATTGATCTATCGAAGCGATCTATTGAGAGAGAGAGAGAGAGACAGGTTTTCGAGTTTAGATGGCGATCCTGTACGCGCTCGTTGCGCGTGGATCGGTGGTTCTGGCGGAGTTCACGGCGGCGTCGACAAACGCGAGCTCGATCGCCAAGCAGATTCTGGAGAAAATTCCAGGAGACAACGACACGCACGTTTCGTATTCGCAGGATCGGTTCATTTTCCATGTCAAACGCACCGATGGACTCACCGTTCTTTGTATGGCCGATGAAAGTGCTGGAAGTAAGCTAAATTAGCTCTCCCTTTATTTAATTCAGATGTAGTTTTTGTAAAGCATATGCTTTTTTTCTTCTTTCCCCCTCCCCCTGAAATTTAACTTATATTTAATTGACGCGATAGGATTACAATTCAATTTCAATTGCTCTTTCAAGTATTCTCGAATTCTTTTCAATCTAATGAGAGATTAGATATAAAGGTAGGCGGTTGAGAAGAAAGTTTGTAAGTTCTATGATTGGTTGACAATCTAGAGTTTGATCATAAGTTCAAAATGGTACAAGGGATGTTTTTTTTGCTGATCATTTCCTTTCGTCAATTGTAGCGTTTGATACTTTTTTCTGAGAAATTATCAGTTATCTTCTTCTGTTGAAGGATTACCCACCTTTTAATTTATGCTTATGAGCTGGAGGTGGGGATATTATTGTTCTTCAGAACATTCTGTTGATTTTTCATTTTTCAGATTGGAAGTTTGTAGCTCTTCTTTGTTATGAGCTCTTTGGTAACTTGGTTCAAACGATAGTAATGGTGGATGTGTTTATTGTATCTTTGGCAGGGAGAATTCCATTTGCATTTCTTGAAGACATACACCAGAGATTTGTGAGGACATATGGAAGAGCAGTATTTTCAGCCCTTCCTTACGGCATGAATGATGAATTTTCAAGGGTTTTGAGCCAGCAGATGGAATATTACTCTAGTGACCCTAATGCCGATAGGATAAATCGTCTAAAAGGTGAAATGAGCCAGGTAGGCTTTGAATGGCTCTGTCTCAGGTTATCAATTCTTTTATTCTAATTCTTCGAGATTCGTATCAGCGTATTCAACCATCTTAATCATGGTGTCTATTTGAATGCATAAGGATGATCTTACACCTTTAAACACCTTTAAAAATGAAATAGTTTGCTGTCAGGCATCACATTAAAAATTTCTAATATCAATCTTATATTGCCAACAATTTAACATGTTATATTTAAGGGGATCCCTACTTTTAGTTGCAGGCTGCAGCTATGGCCTTTTTACATATGGCATTTCAATTATTTTCTTTCTTCACGTTTCCTTTTCAAGCATGGTCTGAACTTTTCAAGTTGTTTCTTGTACTCAAATAGGTGAGAAACGTTATGATAGAGAATATCGACAAAGTTTTAGAGAGAGGCGACCGCTTGGAATTGTTGGTCGACAAAACTGCTAGCATGCAAGGAAATACCTTTCGCTTCAGAAAGCAAACTCGCCGTTTTAGAAACACAGTATGGTGGAGAAACGTCAAGCTTACGTATGATCTCTGAACTTTAAAACCTCACTTATTTGTATGTTACATTCACTGCATTGAATTAGAAAGTGAAATTTACTATGAAGATCATAATTTCCCAATAACCCAGTTAGCGTTAAGGTACAATAGATACTAGGAAAGATGAACTTATCCCTCATTTTCTTGCTTTGCACATTGCAGGGTTACTCTGATAATCCTCCTCCTAATTATCATTTATGTCGTGCTGGCTTTCGTCTGTTACGGGATCACGCTACCTTCGTGCCTAAAATGAGGTCAGCAATTTGAGATTCGAAGAACTCCGTCACCATGGAATCCTGTTTTCTTGGCTTGGTGATGCTTTTGTTTCGACTTCCCCTGCAGTGAGTTGTATACTACCTGTTTATTCAATGTGAAAGAACTAGAGTTTTCATGCTGCTGTCTGTGTGACCATAGTTTCTTGTGAAATTTAGGACTGGTTGGTGTTTGTCTCTTGAAGACATTATACCTGTCGAGTTATTCATCGGATATATCGATTATGAACATAGCACGACACGGTTCAAGTTATTTGCAAACAATGGAATTATGAACATAGTTTGGAATTCCAACAAAAATCTTGTATTTCTTGCTAAAAAAAACATTTGATGAAAATAAAATTAACTTTAATTGTACCTACCAAAAAGATTATAAAAATATAAAAGATTTCATGTTTGAGTAATATTTTTAAGTTTTCTTGTAACTATTATAAGTAAATAAAATACATCTGATTTTTTTTGATAAAAATAACTACTTAAAGTTATTTTGTTAAAATAGATACTTAGATCTTAAAATTAAACCGTGATATTAATTAAAAAATATTTTATGTATTTAAATAAAGAATATAATATATTTTAGGTACCTATTTACTTTATATACTATTTTTATAAAAACAATATACTTTAAAAAATATATTTAAGTGTTTAGATAAAAATATATATATTTTATCTACTTATTTGTGATATAAATCCAAATATTAATATAAACTTAAATTTTTAATAAATTTATAATCTCCTCGTAGATTCCTTACCATACAACCTCTCGATGGAGAGGAGATATAATCATGAATCAATCTCGACTATGTGAATAGATGTGGAAACACACGTGCACACACATTCCTGACCAATCAGATTTATTCTTCGAACAAATCAGACGGCAGAAGAAAAGAAGTACTGCACTGATATTTTACAAAAACGCAGCACACCAAAGCTAAGTGGAGTAATAGGTGAAAATGCAGGTACATGGTTAAGTATCGTGCACCCCTCATTGCCCCTCCTAACACGGTCTACATCACCCCTCTTTCCGGGCCAGTATTTAAACCATCGAGCTTGAGAGGGAGGATAAAAAATTATAATTTAAATAAGGAAATCGCCAACAAAGAGAAAAAGGAGAGGGAACGCAATGAAGCAGAGCTCACCTGAGGCAGTCTCCTCATCGTCTTCCTCTATGCCCAGCTTACCCGACCAATCACAGCCCGCCGCTTCATCATCTGTAACCGAAAACCACCACCTCAACAATAATAGCAATAGAAATAACAAAACCTTGGCGTCGATATCGGCGGCGGATGATTTAGCTGGGGTAGGCTCGAGGGACGAAAGCGCGGCGGCGCAGGAAACGGTGACCGTCGATCGACGAGGTGAATACTCGGCGGTATGTAGATGGACGGTTCATAATTTCCCGAGAGTCAAAGCTAGGGCACTTTGGAGCAAGTACTTTGAGGTAGGTGGTTACGATTGCCGTTTATTGGTTTATCCGAAAGGGGACTCTCAGGCTTTGCCTGGCTACATATCGATATATCTCCAAATCATGGACCCGAGGGGCACGTCGTCGTCAAAATGGGATTGCTTCGCTAGCTACCGGTTAGCCATCGTCAATCTAGCTGACGATTCCAAGACCATTCATCGTGATTCGTGGCATCGTTTCTCGAGCAAGAAGAAATCTCACGGTTGGTGCGATTTCACACCTTCTTCTACTGTCTTCGATTCCAAATTAGGTTATCTACTGAGCAACGATGCCGTTTTAATCACTGCCGATATCATAATCTTGAATGAATCCGTTAATTTTACCCGTGATAACAACGATGCTCAATCTTCATTGTCTTCCATGGTTTCGAATTCCGCTGTTGCCAGTCCCGTTTTTGATGTTTTGAGTGGCAAATTCACTTGGAAAGTGCATAATTTTAGTTTGTTTAAGGAAATGATTAAGACGCAGAAGATAATGAGCCCAGTTTTCCCTGCTGGGGAGTGTAATTTGAGGATTAGTGTGTATCAAAGCTCAGTTAATGGGCAGGAATATTTGTCTCTGTGTTTGGAGAGCAAGGATACAGATAAAACGGTCATTTCTGATCGGAGTTGTTGGTGTTTGTTTAGAATGTCAGTCCTGAATCAGAAACCAGGGTCGAACCATATGCACAGAGATTCATATGGGAGATTTGCAGCCGATAATAAGAGCGGGGATAATACTAGTTTGGGTTGGAATGACTACATGAAGATGACGGATTTTGTTGGGCTAGAGGCAGGGTTTTTGGTGGATGATACTGCTGTATTTAGCACCTCGTTTCACGTGACCAAGGAGTATAGTAGTTTCTCCAAGAATGGAGGGTTGGTTGCAGGTAGGACTGGTAATGGAGCAAGGAAATCTGATGGACATATGGGAAAATTCACTTGGAGGATTGAGAATTTTACAAGGTTAAAGGATCTTCTGAAGAAGAGGAAGATAACAGGTCTTTGCATCAAGAGCAGGAGATTTCAGATTGGAAACCGGGATTGTCGTCTCATTGTTTATCCTCGAGGTATGCAAGAGTCATTGTAACCATTTAATGAAATGGATTTTGTTGTCACTTTTCTATGTACAAACTGACCAATACGTCTAGTTAAAGAAAGTGATGTATTTGTTGACATTTTTTCTTTTTCTTGGTTAAAATAAAATATTAAAGTAGATAGCGACAAAGATGGTTACATGCTTGTTGTTGTCGCCCCCTACAAATTTTTTTTAATATAATGTTAATTGGTTAGCTTAAGCTTCCATATTTTGTGTCTAGATTCATATATGATTGACTTGAAAATGGTTTTTGCTTTACTGGCACTTTTAGGGAAGCGGTGACAGATTTTTTAGCACTCACTACCGGTAGTGAAGCTATTTGTCACTTTATATACATGTTTAATGTGGTCCGTGGATTCAAAATAAATTAAAAGGGAATTTATGGAGGAAGAGCTGTATTTTACCTTTGTAATCTGGTTTGTCACAAGTCTTATGATCCTTGCATCCGTGACAAGGTGACATGGGATGATTGTTGCTAAATTGTGTTTGGAACATGTACTGATTGAAGTTTCCCATGGGCTTGATTCTATCAGGGCAGTCCCAGCCACCGTGCCACCTTTCTGTGTTTCTTGAGGTAACAGATTCGCGAAATACTTCAAGTGACTGGAGCTGTTTTGTGAGTCATCGACTGTCTGTTGTGAACCAAAAGATGGAGGAGAAGTCGGTTACAAAAGAATCTCAGAACCGCTACTCTAAAGCTGCAAAGGACTGGGGTTGGCGTGAATTTGTGACGCTTACCAGCTTATTTGATCAAGATTTTGGGTTTCTTGTTCAGGATACTGTTGTATTTTCTGCGGAGGTCCTTATTCTGAAAGAGACATCAATAATGCAGGATTTCACTGGTCAAGATACTGAGTCAGCAAATACTGCTCTTCAGATAGAAACGGTTGGAAAGAGAAGTGCATTCACATGGAAGGTGGAGAACTTCTTATCTTTCAAGGAAATAATGGAAACCCGCAAAATGTTTAGCAAATTTTTTGAAGCCGGTGGATGTGAGCTTCGAATTGGTGGGTGATTGTCTCCAATCGGTTCTCCACTGAACATTTTGTTCTAGTTGTTTCTCTTGATTAACTGGCTGTTTGTGATGCAGGTGTGTATGAGTCCTTTGACACCATTTGTATATATCTGGAGAGTGATCAATCTGTTGGTAGTGATCCTGATAAAAACTTTTGGGTTAGATACAAAATGGCTGTAGTGAATCAAAAAAATCCAGCCAAGACTGTCTGGAAGGAATCTTCTATTTGTACAAAGACATGGAATAATTCTGTTTTGCAGTTCATGAAGGTATCAGATATGTTAGAAGCAGATGCAGGGTTTCTTGTACGTGACACCGTTGTTTTTGTTTGTGAAATATTGGATTGCTGCCCTTGGTTTGAGTTCTCAGATCTTGAGGTTAGTATCTTTTGGATATCTTCTATTTTATGCATTGTTTTTTCTTCTGGATAGGCAAGTTTTGTTTATATTCAGTTTTCAGATTTGGAGCTTGTCTATTTGGGCTTTCTGTTTACATAACTTATGGGACAGAAAAGATTTCCTTTTTCTACCTGCTACTGGGATTTGGAACCTTTTGTCTTTACCTGAAGGATGTGTAAACTTGATCCTTCCCCACTTATTTGGCTTGGTTCTTCTGAACCACCCTTTGCTGTGCTATTTTCTTGTTTGTTCTCATGCTGACTACTTTCACGGTATTAGGAAGGAACTAATGAAGGATATAATAAATTTACTCATAATATCTTTTTCTTTATGTTTCGAATGAATTAGCTCAGCATTTTGATATTTGCTCTTCTCCACATTTGACAGGTTTTGGCTTCTGAGGATGATCTGGATGCTTTAACAACTGATCCTGATGAACCTATTGATTCTGAAGACAGTGAAGGTATAAGTGGGGATGAAGATGATATCTTTAGAAACCTTCTTTCCCAAGCTGGATTTCACATTACATATGGAGACAATCCATCACAGCCACAGGTCACTTTACGAGAGAAACTTCTGATGGATGCTGGGGCAATTACTGGTTTTCTGACTGGACTTCGTGTTTACCTCGATGACCCTGCTAAAGTAAAGCGTTTGCTGCTTCCAACAAAGCTCTCTGGTAATGGCGATGGAAAGAAGGCTTCCAAGAATGATGGATCTTCACCAAGTTTGATGAATTTGCTTATGGGAGTCAAAGTTTTGCAGCAGGCAATTATTGATCTACTCTTGGATATAATGGTTGAATGTTGCCACCCTTCTGAAAGAGTTGCACGTGGTGATTCTTCAGAATGTAACACTAAACCTTCTTCTGATGGTAGTGAAACTGCTAGCTCACTGGTTTGTGATAGGGAAAATGGAGGTGCAGAATCTACTCATTTTCCTTTGTATGAACGATTGGATTCTTTTGTGGATGATGGTATCACTGCCTCTGCTGTACAAAGCTCTGACGTTAATGGGATTAATATCTCTGGAAAACCCATTCTCAGACGGCCTATTACTCCACCGGAAACCTCTGCTGGGGTTTCTTCTGAGAATTCCTCCCTTCACGCAAAGGTATGTTTTGTGAATGATGTTGAACTCGAATAGTCATCATGTAATTTTTTTGTTCAATGATTATTAATCAACTCCTGAACAACTTGAATTTCCAGACCAAGTGGCCCGAGCAATCTGAGGAGCTTTTAGGGTTGATTGTTAACTCTTTGAGATCTCTAGATGGAGCTGCTCCACAAGGCTGTCCAGAGCCAAGGCGGAGGCCCCATTCTGCACAGAAGATCTCTCTTGTTTTGGATAAAGCTCCTAAGCATCTGCAACCGGACTTAGCTGCATTGGTGCCTAAATTGGTAGAGCATTCAGAGCATCCACTGGTTGCTTATGCGCTTCTTGAACGACTTCAAAAGCCAGATGCAGAGCCTGCATTGCGAATACCTGTAAGAGAGTTTTTGTAATGGACTTAATTTCTTTTATGTTATGGTATTTGTGGGCTGTTCCATTAGGATGTGCTTTAAGAGAAATCAGTTTCTGAACATTTGGGTGAGATTTCAAACGGACTATTGTTTTGAAATATGTTTTTTTCATTATAAAGTTCATTTCTTTATCTTCGATCTGCTAATAATGATTCTTCTATTTCAGGTATTTGGAGCACTCAGTCAACTGGATTGTGGCAGCGAAGTCTGGGAACGCATCTTATTTCAATCTTTTGAGCTATTAACAGGTCCAAATGATGAGCTTCTGGCTGCAACCATAGATTTCATCTTTAAAGCTGCATCACAATGCCAACATCTTCCTGAAGCAGTATGTTTATCTTTATCATTTCATTGTTGTATTCTACAAATTACCATAATTTCTGAAGTATATATAACTATTTTGGTTCTCTTCTGCAGGTTAGATCTGTTCGTGTTAGGCTAAAAGAATTGGGACAGGAGGTGTCTCCTTGTGTTCTTGATTTTTTAAGTAAACTTGTAAATAGTTGGGGAGATGTTGCTGAGACCATATTAAGAGATATAGATTGTGATGAGGATTTCAATGGAAATCTCCCGGCAATGGGTTGTGGGTTCTTGTTTGGTGAAAATCGACCCACTTGTGAAAGATTGCATGTGGTGGATGAGCAGGCTTTTTGCTCTGGTCATCATTTTTCTGACATTTATATTCTGATTGAGATGCTATCCATACCTTGCCTTGCTGTTGAAGCTTCTCAAACATTTGAGAGAGCTGTGGCTCGAGGTGCCATTTCGGTTCAGTGTGTAGCCATGATCTTGGAAATGCGTCTAGCTCAGAGATCGAATGTCAATGCCAGATATGTTGCTGAAAGCTTTAAGCAGGGGGATGCTGTAGTCGAGGGAGAAGCCAGTGAGCAGCTTAGGGTTCAACGGGATGAGTTCTCTTCACTTCTGAGTCTTGCTGAGACATTAGCACTCTGTAGAGATCTTCGTGTCAGGGACTTTGTGAAAATGCTTTATACAATATTATTCAAGTGGTATGCTGACGAGTGCTCCCGAGTGAGGATGCTGAAAAGACTTGTTGATTGTGCTACCAGCACTACAGAAAGTAGTTGTAAAGTGAACATAGATTTTGATGTTTTGGTTCTTTTGGTTTCTGAAGAGTCAGAAATTGTTAGACCTGTTCTAAGCATGATGCGAGAAGTTTCTGAACTTGCAAATGTTGATCGAACAGCCCTTTGGCACCAGTTATGTGCTAGTGAGGATGCAAATATCCGCATGCGTGAAGAGAGCGAGACTGAAATTTCAAACATGGTTAGGGAAAAAGCTACTATATCCCTAAAATTAAGCGAATCTGAGTCCACGAATAATCGTCTGAAGGTATGCCGCTTTAACTAATGGTACGTTCTGCGATTGCTCTCCCATCTCTATTCTTTTCAGGGAGTTCTTAAAGTTACCATGTCTTATAAATTGACAGTCTGAAATGAGGGCTGAGATGGATCGATTTGCTCGGGAAAAGAAGGAACTTTCTGAACAAATACAGGAGGTTGAGAGCCAACTTGAGTGGCTTCGCTCTGAGAGGGATGATGAAATTAAAAAACTCAGAGCTGAGAAGAAAGCACTTCAGGATCGTCTTCACGATGCAGACATACAGGTCTCCCAGTTGAAGTCTCAGAAACGTGAAGAATTGAAGGTACTTGGGATGATAAATATGTGTTGCATCTTTGCTTTTGCTTTGTGATTCATTTGACTGCTATCTTTACTGCTTTATCTGACAAGAAGGTATGTATGTGATAGAGGGTGGTAAAGGAGAAGAAAACTCTTGCCGAAAGATTGAAGAGTGCTGAAGCTGCACGGAAAAGATTTGGTGAAGAATCAAAACGGTATGCCACAGAGAACGTGACCCGAGAAGAAATTTGTCAATCTCTTGAGAATGAAATTCGTAGATTGACACGAACAGTTGGCCAAACTGAAGGTGAAAAGCAGGAAAAGGAAGAGCAGATTGCCAGGTGTGAAGCATATATTGATGGCATGGAATCAAAGTTGCAGGCCTGCCAGGTTTTTCCCCTCACCATCACCATATTTTATGTTGAATTTCTAGGAGATTTCAGCTGTTTATTGGATAAGACAATGAGCAGAGATTCGGGTTCTAATTTGAATAAAAAAAAATGCTGTGTGGTCCCTCCCATTTATGCGTTTTCTTCTGCAGCAATATATGCACACACTTGAGGCCTCGCTCCAAGAAGAAATGTCACGACACGCTCCTCTCTATGGTGCTGGTTTGGAAGCTTTGTCGATGAAGGAATTGGAAACATTGTCGAGGATTCACGAGGAAGGGCTGAGGCAAATCCATGCTCTCCAGCAACGGAAAGGCAGTCCGGCTGGTACTCCTCTTGCAAGTTCCCATACTATCCCACACAATCATGGGTTATACACTACAGCACCACCACCAATGGCTGTCGGACATCCACCACCTTCCCTCCTCCATAACAGTGTAGGAATCCACGGAAATGGAAATGGGCATGTGAACGGGACTGTCGGACCTTGGTTCAATCATGGTTGAGTTTCTAGGGCCACCTTTTTACATTGTGCCGGTGCATTTAGTAGCTTTACCTACAACCCCCCCCCCCCCAAACACCAAATAGAGGTTATGAACATCACCGTTTGAGGAGATATCCCTTTTTTGAATTATATTTTTTTGGCAATTTTTTTAACTGGTAGAACTGTTGGAGCCCATTATGGGACTAACAGTTGGAAATATGCTTTTTTCACCCTCTTTGCTTCAAATTTTATAAAGGTTGATTAGGCTTTTATCCAAAGTTTTGTTAATCATGATTCTCACTTTTGAGCCCGCATTTATCTAAATTTTATCTAAAATTTGACGAAAAAAGTTTTAAGGACAACTTAACCAAAAGTAGTAGTTTGTGTTTTAAGAGCTTCTTTTATACAATCCGATTCAGAAGGATAAATATAATTTAAAATTTTTCAAAACTCGTATATATATTTAAAAGATCACAGTCCACTCGATATTATTTGGTAATTAATTCAAATTATAGCAAGAAAGATATAATATAATACCACCATCCGTACAAAGTCAATACGAAGTGAATGCGTGAAGATATGCAACTCACAAATCCTTTATTTGTATTCCGTAGGAACAATGTTGGACCTTGAAATAAAAAATGGATTTGATTTTCTTTGCTATATGGTGAAGGAGACAAGGAAGTGATGTATGTATGACTATCAATATTAAGTTGTAGCCTTTATAGTCTAGCCGGGAGTAGCAGTGATCAGGTAGTCCTTGATAACCCCAAGTTTAGCAGTGATCGGCTAGTCCTCGATAACCCCAAGTTTCCGCAGCGATGACCTTATATCCTTGGTGCTGCATTCTTCAGCTAGGAGGATGTTGGGACTGTCAGATGGAAGGACATGTTCTAGAGGGTAGATTCTGCTGGAGTGAAGCTTAAGAGCAGTGTTGCCGATTCCTTTCAACAAGACTGTTTTATGGACTCCTCCAAGCAGGGCTTCGTAATCCGTGTCTCCGCATTCTCCAGCAAAGATGACCGAGTTTGATAACTCCATGCCCCAACGAATGTACAGGTACCTAAAGGAGAGCTAGTCGTATTATATGCCAATACCTGATGATTTATCTGAAACGTGATCGATGAAATATCCTGACCGAGAAGAAACGAACAACATTGAAGAAACATGAAGAACATCAGCAGGAATACCTTAAAGCTTGAGCTCGAGAAGCTAAAATGGGGATTACATTTAATGTGGAGCCGTTTTGACAGTAGATAACATTGCATCTAAGGGCCTGAATTCTTATCAACTTTTGAAGCTCCTTAATCGGGGGAACCTGTGAATGGAAACAAGCATTTGGGGAGAATTGCGGGGTTAATTAAAACAGCAAAAGAACTGAAGAATAGAGAGAACGAGGCTGATCCAGTCGTTGTTGTGCGGAAACATGAGAATTGAAAATAGATTACCAATTCAGGCTCCTTCACATTGAATGCATAGCAATGGACAGTAGATCGAGATTCATCTTCGGAAACAATCTCTCCGTTTTTATCATTGACAGAAGTAGCCCATCGAACCAAAGTTTTCCTTAAACCTTCTCCACCCCAACGATATTCAATGTGCGATTGATAATCTGTGTCCACCATGAAGGGAAGTCCGGTATTGTCCTCCGAACTAGTCAAAGGGTAGTACAATTCGCCACCACTGTTACATATAAAAGCATCGAAATCCAGTGGGCTTATGCTTCCTGAGATAAGAAGAGAGTGTACCTCAGATATGGACAAGGATGTCGATAATATGAACCCAACAAGACTCTCTTTTCCTGCCACATCCATAACTGCCTTCATTATTCTAGGAATATCGGAGGTTGAATCACAATCAACGGCTATCACATAAATGTATTTCCTCATCCTCATCGCTAGACACTTATTGCCACTGACAATTTGCTCTGCCTTCTCCACTAAACTTGCCTTTTCGGCACCCCCGATAGTACCCTTCGACGACTTTAAATATGCATTCTCCATGTTGCTTTTTCTATCAATGGAATCCAAGTAACTATCAAGAGTTCCAGTTCCTTCACTCTTTTCACCATCCAGTGATAACTTCAAGTTTAAAGATAAATCATGTATGTCTCTCAAAGAATCACCAGGTGAGTTCGGTTCTGGATTTTCGAATCCCAGATCACTTCTCTGCCACTGTGGTTGCCTTGGCTTGCACATGGCTATCCGGGACAAATATGTTTTACAATGCTCTGGCCAAGAGAATTGATGAATATTTTTCAATCCATTCTGTCGGCATCTCGCCCACAATTGCTTATCTGAAACAAGTTTTAGAAGAGCATCAGCAATAGACTGCTGATCATGGGGATCAACTAGTACACCATTGTCGAGAACCTGCAATGAATTTATTCAGTACCGATAAGTATTGTATATAACACTAAACTTGCTCCATATCTATATAAAGGCGGGAAAATCTCTCTAAGCTGCAAAATAGCAATGATGAACGAACCTTGTGAATGTCAACAGGACCCCCATTTTTCGTGGCGACAACAGGCAAGCCATATGCTGCTGCCTGTTCACAGAAATTACGTTGAAGCTTCTAAAATGTCAAAAATCTGAAACAGAAAAAACTACAGGAATGGCAGACAAGTTAAGCACCTCGATTAAAGTAAGCCCAAATGGCTCAATAAAAGCTGGATTAATAAAAACACCCTGAGAAAGAAAGAAAAAACAAAATATACATTAGAGAAATTTTACGCAAAAGCTTTCACTAGCTGAAGATCCCTCCTCAATACTTTCTGCACCAACACTAAAGAAGAGAAGTCAACAAGCAAGAGCAAAGTAAGGATCACTTACTGACTTAATCAAAACCTAAAAATATTACGAGTAGAATAATATGACACAGTCCATTCGATCACCGAGAAGTCAAATAGTGCATCTAATTAAAAACAAAACCCACTCTTTCTATTAAAAAATAAAGAATACTATAATTTCTTAAATTGAGAACTAGTTCACCAAGTGTACCTTAGTTTTTGCTGCTAGACCGTAAATGTCAGGAACTTCGTACTGCTTGTGGTGCTTAGGGTATGCTACTTGGCCATACAAATCATATTTGTCAATCAGTTTAAGAATCGAGAGAAGCACAGTTGCATTGGTGCCAGACATTTCATCAATATTTTCACGGTTTCCCATTATTAATGTCTGCACCAGCCAGAGAAGTGAGATAATTGGGATACAACTAATCTATAAGAAAATTAGACTGCAACCATCATCAGTTCAAATTCAGGACCAGGTACATACCAGATTAGCGAGCTCCCTTAAAGGTCGGCACTCTCCAAAAGCTTTGACTAAAGTTGTAATATTCTTCTTAGGGTCTGGCCGAGCAAGGGCAAGAATCATCGGTTTACGAGGGTTTGTAAAGAAACGCATTACCTGCATACATTATTATTATTGTTGTTGTTATTATTATTATCAGGTACTGCTCCGAGAACGATATGTTAGTAAAATATTATTAGAGTATAACGAGCAGAGAAAGGTCAGTGAAGTGCAGCAAACCCGCTATTATCAAGGAGAAGTTAAATAAATGAATATATTTATAACCTCAGACCAAATAGGAGGGTCAGGAGTAGGATTTTCTTCATTTCTTTCCATATCTCCATCCATGTCCTCATCATGAGGAACAATGTGATGAAACTCCATCCCAGGAGGAATTACCTAGATATGATTTTAGCAGCATAAGATACACGGAAATAAAGCATAGAAGAGAGAAGAATGAAAGTAACAGTAAAATATTTCATGTGTAAAGCGGTATTATTAGCAATAATAACCAATCAAAAATGATTTCTTGATACGTACAACCATACGGGGCATAAACCTCCCATGACATTTAACACCTCTTCTGATCCTTGCTCTAAGTTTGCGCTCCAATACTGGATCAAAGCCATCATAAAGGCGCCACTGTTCTTCTATCTCCTGTCTGGTGCTAGTTATAACAATTTCAGATGCATCAAGAGATAACTCCTCAGCCTCTATCCTCCGCATGATTTTGTAAGTCGTATTTATTTCTTCTCTCGACTGTCGACCTTGTTTCAAGATCTGTTCTAGCTTATCCCTACCAAGTGAGTGGCCGGTAAAAATCATTGGCACGTTTAGAGCTCCAGATAGAAGGGCCGCAGAATCTCCCGCATCTGCATAATGTCCATGAATAGCAACAGGCCAGACTGGCTGCCCACCGCCAATTTGCTCACCCAGAACTTTGGACATCTGTCGAATGTGACTAAGTGCGTAATCAACAAACTCAGGAATATGAGGCCAAAGAAGTTCTTTGGGTATATATTTATCTTTTGGACCAAAGGGTATACGAATAATATAAGCACCGCTGCTCTCACCAAGCTCCTGTATCGAGTTCTCTGTAGTTCTTGGAGAAAGCATCTCTGTTGGTTCAGCATAACTCCAATCCACATCTGGATCTGATACTTGTCTTGTCAGCAAGTCAACCCGATATACTCCTGGCATAGTGCCCAAGGCCCTAGCAAGTTCTACTACATACTTAACCTGTGTACAATACAACCTCAAATTTTCCCAATGTGCTCTAGCCTCTAGAATGATTGGCCATACTTTGAATCAGATGAGAACATAACACGCTCAACTTAAAAATGGGTGAAATTACCTGACCACCTGTATCAGAATCACGACCAAGCTCCATGTTTTCACCCCTTATCAAACCATGAAGACTGCAGAGAGACCACCGGTTAGAAAGAACTATATTACATCATCAATGTCTAAGAAACAATGAGCTATTATCTAGAAGTACGATCTAAATTGTATCACTACTCACTATAACAGATAAAGAACACATCTAAAATATGAATCAGTGAACAACGTCAGCTAATACAGAAGTGCAGTGCAGGTCATGCCTTATCAACACAATATAGAGCTTCCTTTCTTTGAGCTGATTGGCCAAGTTCTCCATCAAATTAACAGAAACAATTCTATGCATTCTTCCTTGGACACTATCACCATGAGATGAAACATCACCAGGAAACTCTCCTTTCTCTCCTTCTGAAAGGTCTTCAGACATGTCAGCAGTTGCCTCTTTGCGGCCCCTTTCACATTCAAGGCGACGCTTAGCATTGCGTTGAGCTTCCTCCCCCTCAAGCTATTAAGTTAAAGTAACCAAATATAAAAGAGAAGAAAAAAAAAACTAACATATCTGAAGTGAAAAAATTGAAAGTAACAAATTAACATTCGAATGAACATAGTGGTACACTATAAAAAGTTCATTACAAATCAAATCATCAAGGTAAAGCAGCTAAAATTTATAATCAATACAACAATTCCCGTGTTCTAAAATAACACGTTGGCATGAGTTAATCAATGTACGTAGTTCATATAATAAAATTTAATTCATAGCGCAGTTTAAGGAAGAGAAATGGCAATACATGCTGGCCACGAAAGCAATTTGGTATTTAACTTAAAAATCACCGAGCCAAATGAAAAACAAATATATTAACTGCTTCATCCTCATAGACAATCAACTATGAACTATTGTATTGCTATTGTTAAGGTCATCAACGTTAACCAAAAAAATGTTGAAAATTTCACAAACAATAAATAAAAAGTTGAAAAACGAACTTTCACTTCTATCTTACAAACCACTTAACACCAAATCGAGCAGAGTAAAAGTAGGTGTTTTTCTCTTGATTTCTAGATGCAAAAGCTTGGAACTGTTGATCTATCTATTTGAATTATGTTAGATGCGAGGTTCGAACTAAAATAGCACCAAAAGACAAAAACCTGCTTCTTCTTTCGAGCCAAATTCCAAATCCTCCAGCACATATTCTCCAGTCTCGTGTTCCTCTCCTTAGGACCCCTCGTCGCAGCCGCCTAGCCGGAATAGCCAATAATATTTAAAATCAAACAGTTAAAAGAGTCCATAATTCAAAATAAACTCAAAAAACAGAGAGATGGGAAGGATAAAAGAGTAGTATTGTGTTTATAAAGGAAAGAAAGCGCAAGAACAACCTAGGAGGAAGTGAAATGAAAATCATACTCGAATCCAAGAACGGTGGAGATCGGACTCATCGTAACCAGTGATGACCTCTTCCACGAAGTAGCGAGTTGGACTGAAATGACCTCTCTCCCTTAGCAAAAACGACGATTTGGCTTCGTCGATTCCCGGACCAACGTCCAGGATCGCTTCCAGGTAACTGCTTATCCAATCGTTTCCCGCCATCTTGTTTTTTGCTTCTGCGTGCTATGAAAAAGGATGAGAAAAGAGTGAAATCTATTAAACCTGTTGAGACGGTTATGATTTTATTTTTTTGTTACTTTCGAGTGAAGCCTTTTGAATTTATATACAGCGATGAAGAGGACGGGTGTGCCCATCTATTGGTTAAGGTAGACCAACACGTGTCACCTACTGATGATATAGCATTTAATCTGGTCTAGTTATGGTTTTAGTCCCTATATTATTGCTGAATTTGGTTTTAATCCCTTTGACATATATTGATCTCTTTGGCCAACAAAGGACCTTAACTTCTACTCCGTTATAGTTAAGGGATTATTTGGTTAATAAATTTTTGTAATCCCTCATTTTCATCTCTTATATCATTCAGAATCTAAACGTTTTTGTTTTAGATTTGAGGTGTTTAAAAATATTTATTAGTTTGTACATGTTTAAAGAAATAACCACATAATATTCAAGCTAATTTTCATATTGATGAAATGATTTGATTAGGAAAATATTTTAAATTAAGAATTGAATTGAAATTTTAAGATTAATTTAAAAATTAATTCGCACTTTAAAAATCTTTAGTGTAATTAACCCATTCAAATATGAGCATGGTAGGAATAATAAACTCAATCTAACCTGAAATGTCTAAAATTCGAGATTTTTTTCTTTAAGGAATAGATTGAAGGTACCAAAATCCCACGGCAAAGAAATCAACATATACCTAACATTATTAAAAATGTGTAATGCTAAAAGACAATAAAAGAAACATGGGATATGCATGTCTTTATCATTATCTTGATTTTAGTTTACAAACTTCAGTGGACCGACCTATCACTTCTTGTCCAAAATTCACATGCAAATGAAATATATAGCATCTATACTTCAAGATTAGTAATTATATTATTATTACATGCTAATTAATTACTAATTTAACTATTTTTTTTAAAAAATGATAATAAATATTAAGTTCAAGGTTGTTTGACGTCTTTAAGATATAAAAAATATATCTATTATGATCAACTTTAATATATAATATTGGACACCTTCGAGTGTTAGGTATTTATTCGAGATAAAAGTGAAAGATGCGGAGCAAGCACTAGAGAAGTGAGGCCAAGTGTACGTTATGAATTATTGAAAGCGAATGTAGTGCCCTAAATAGATAGGTTCGAAATTTGAGATCAAATTAGCCAATGATTTAATATAATTTTATAATTCATATTCTTTTCGTAGCTATTACGCTATAAATAGGATTGTGGCTTCATTTATGGGCATCATTCCCCACTGGTGTTTGATACTGGTAAAATTGGTCTAATAGGTCATGCGAGTAAAAACAAATTAGGCCATTGAATTAAATAATTAGACGTAATGATATGTATAAGTTTATTTGATTATTAGTTAATTGTAATATATTAAATTTTTAAAATTTAATATTATAAATGAAAAAATTGAATTGAGAGAGTTAATGTTAGTTTCGAGGTAGGGTTATTGGGCATGCATAATGAACAGGATTTGATTTGATGCCTTTGCCAATGAAGGGAAGGCTTCTTTTTTCAACTCTATTATGTATTAGACATTGGACCATTTAACCGAAAACCAGATTTAAAAGTCGTGTCCTATGGACGTGGGGATGGGGATTTTTTTCGTTTGCATAGACTTGACATTAAAATGTGTGATATTAGTCAGTGATTTATGATGGTCCCTTCAGTGAAAAATAATAAGAATTTATTGACCGTAAATAAAATAATATCCATAGATTCGGTTTTTAGAGGGAGGTTATTCGTAGTTGTAGATGCTAATTCTAGCATTTTTACTATTCAAATTATTTTTTGTTGATAATAAATATGAGTATGTATTGTCTTTGTGAATTATGAAATGAGATAATAAAGATTCAAATATTCACTATACAAGTTAAATAAATAATTTGAATTTAAGCACGAATCAACTTACCTCAGTAATTAAAAGAATCATTAATGTTTTTAAAAATCACAAGTTCGAGCCTCAGTGGTTGCAACTGGGTAATTGAGTTTTCATTGTCAAATGTTTGAGAGCATTTAAATTAAATACTACTTTGTAATCACCTTAGTTTAATAAAAAAAATGAATTCAAATAAGATTTTTAAATTTATTACAATTAATGAAAATATAAATTTTAAAACAAATTTATGGATTTGAGTTTGAATTTTTAAAATTATATATATCTATTTTTGTTATCATTTCCAATATTTTGATTGTCATTTTCAATTTTGAAATGAAAACCTAAAAAGAATAAAAAAAAATTAATTGGATTTAAGTTAAAAAAATGAAAACCTAAAAAGAATAAAAAACAAACATTAATGGGATTTAAGTTAAAAAAAGAAATATTTCATTATAAATCAATTTCGTGTAACTACAAAGAATGTTTTTGTTGTTGTAACAAATGTTGTAGAAATTACATATTAATTTGTTTTTGTTGTTGTAACAAATGTTGTAGAAATTACATATTAATTTTATTTTATGGATATTGAATAAATGACATACAACACACCGTTTCTGAGTAACAACGTATTTGAGAAAGATGATGATACAAACCAGGCCTGTCCATTGGAAGTGCAATGACCCAAAATTTAGGGGCTTACGTTTTAAAAAATATCATGGTTTTGATTTTAAGAGCATTCGAATGATGATATTTTTTAAATAAAATATCACAATTATAGAGTTGATTTGTTACATGGTCTTAGTTTCATATGTTTGTTTTTTTTTTAAAATTTTATAAGATACAATCGTAATATGATAAATTTTGATATTTTACAATTTCGTCTCATTATAAAATATTTTTAAGAGCCTCATTTAAAAAATTAACATATGATCTCTACATCTTTTGGGGCGAACCTTGTACAAACCATGTACTAAGACAATACTCTGTAAATTACAAAAGTTCTCTCAGATGGCATTCAGACTGCATCTCGTTGCTTGAAGTATATGTCGACTGCATGGGTCGAGACCGAAAAGGGATATGTAGACGATGTCGATACCATGAGATGGATATGGAAGATGAACAAAGCTTAATGAAATGATTTCAGAAATTGATTTCTCCTCTGGCCTGATGTTCATTATTCTTAAGTCTCCTCCTCCTCAGATTGGTTCCCCTATAACAAGACTCCATTTGGTTATAACTGGAGCAAGAATTAAGGACACATACTTATGGACACTATTATTTCCACAAGAAAAGCAAAACAGAAAGCTAGTACTTACCAATGTTGATTGAGGAATATCACGGAATCCGCATGAGCCTTTTCGGCGTCCTCATTCGATGCCAGTTTAAGAAGACATGGGTTCACGGAATAACCATAAATGGCTTCACGGAATGCAGAATATTCTGGTTGTGGGTCCTGAAACCTAATGGTGAAATATAAATACATGGATTAGCATAAGCACTTTAGTACGAGGTATTGAGAATAGTGTTACCAGCGGGTGTAGTTGCCAGCTGGAGTAGTTAATTGCTAACCGTTTCTGTTAAGGGTTAGTTTTTCGGTTAAGCCAGTTTTCTATTGAGTTAAACTTATAGTGTCAACCCGTAAAGAAAAGCTATTGGCTATATAAAAAGACCTTTCTGGTCAAGGGCTGAGATTATCTAACAGCCTACACTTCCTTTTCTTTTCACCTTATTTTCCCTTGGTTAAGCTGTTCAGTATAGAGTTTTCAACATGGTATCAGATGTCTAACGATTCGTTTGCCAGTGGACTTCATGGTGGTTTTCTCCGGTTTTCATTGTTCTGCTCGTTATGCCTGATTCGTTTGTTGCTGTTGAGGTTACATCTGAAGAGAGTAGTGTCGTTTTGGTCAACAATCGAATGATGGAGAAGCCGTTTATGAATAAATATGTCAATGTTTGGCTTGATGACAACAATTTTCTCCTTTGGAAGCAGCAAGTACTTCTTATGATTCAAGGACATGAGTTGGAGCATTTGTTGGATAAGTCTTTTCCGATTCCGCCTCAGACTATGGTAGATGATTCCAGTGAGTTAATGGTGAATCCGACTTACCGTATTAACAAAAAGCATGATAGTTCTTTAGTGTCTTGGCTTCTTTCAACAATTAGTTCTTCGATTCTACCTCAACTTGTTGGAGCACATACCTCTACTCGGATCTGGAACACAGTCCTCAGCATGTATTCAAAGCTCTCCACTAAAAAGATTATGAGCTTGCATGGAAGGCTTCAGTCTCTTAAAAAAGAAGATTTGTCGGTTCATGAGTTTTCTACACAAATCAAGGAGATTTGTGACTTGCTTGCGACGAGTGGGAGTCCGGTTTTAGAGATTGATCAGATTGTTAGACTGCTTAATGGACTTCCTGTTGATTTTGAACCTTTTGTTGCTGCCATAACTGTAAGTCGTGAGCCATGCACATTTGATACTGTCACTTCTGTTCTTATTGATGCTGAATCACAGATTGGTGATCTCATGAAGACGTCGGTTAATATCAATCTAACCAGGCATGATCTTCATAATGAAGGAAATATTGGTGGCAGTCGTGATCAGTATTATGCTAGCAATAGGTCAAGTGGCAATCGAGAGAAAAATCAGAATAAATATAAGTATAAGGGCATACCTCGATATCAGTGTTAATTATGTGGAAAGATTGGCCATCTGGAGGATAGGTGTTGGCATCATTTTGATGAGAACTACAAGGGGATAACATCTAGGCAATCTAGGAATAACAACGAAGTGCAGGCTAATGTGTGTAAATATGATTCTAATTCCAATGAATCTTGCTATAATCCATTTGTGAGTATATCTGCAGGTGGTGAAGTTGTTAATGAAGATGCCACTGCTGATACGGTGCAAACCAATTCGCTCATTGTTAAAGGTGTACTTTCTGTTGCTGATAGATGGTATCCTGACTCAGGAGCTATGCATCATGTGACGTATGAGAAAGTTGGAGCATCCTCTAGTGGGTCATATTCTGGTAAAGGTAAGGTTTATCTTGGTGATGGTTCTACCTTACCAATCTCACATGTAGGTGATGTGCCCTTGACTGCTAAAACATGTGATTTAAAGCTTAAAAATGTATTGTCTGTACCAAAGATTACTAGGAATT